AATTCCTTCACCTCCGCCGCATCTGCTCCCAGGATGAGGCATTCCACACCTGTACATCTCAGATGTCCTCGTTTTTCAAGGACTGCAACTTCCCCCCGTCAGTGGTCGAGAACACCCTCCACCGTGTCTCCCGCATTTCCCGCAACTCATCCCTCACACCCCGTCCCCGCAATAACAACCAAAAAAGAATCCCCCTCGTCCTCACGTACCACCCCACCAACCTCCAGATCCAACGCATCATCCTCCGACAATTCCGCCATCTGCAATCCGACCCCACCACCAAAGACATTTTTCCCTCCCCACCCTTATCTGCTTTCCGGAGGGACCACTCTCTCCGTGACTCCCTTGTCTGCTCCACACTCCCGTCCAGCCCCACCACACCCGGCACTTTTCCCTGCAACCGCAGGAAGTGCTACACCTGCCCCCACACCTCCTCCCTCACCCCCATCCCAGGCCCCAAGAAGACTTTCCACATCAAGCAGATGTTCACCTGCACATCTGCCAATGTGGTATACGGCATCCGCTGTGGCCTCCTCTACATCGGCGAAACCAAGCGGAGGCTCGGGGACCGCTTTGCAGAACACCTACCCTCGGTTCGCAATAAACAACTGCACCTCCCAGTCGTGAACCATTTCAACTCCCCCTCCCACTCCTCAGACGACATGTCCATCCTGGGCCTCCTGCAGTGCCACAATGATGCCACCCGAAGGTTGCAGGAACAGCAACTCATATTCCACTTAGGAACGCTGCAGTCCAATGTTACCAATGTGGATTTCACAAGCTTCAAAATCTCCCCTACCCCTACCGCATCCCAAAACCAGCCCAGCTCGTCCCCGCCTCCTTAACCTGTTCTTCCTCCCACCTATCCCCTCCTCGCACCTCAAGCCACACCCCCATCTCCTACCTACTAACCTCATCCCACCCCCTTGACCTGTCCGTCCTCCCTGGACTGACCTATCCCCTCCCTTCCTCCCCACCTACACTCACCTTTACTGGCTCCATCCCCGCCTCTTCGACCTGTTTGTTTCCTCTCCACCTATCTTCTTCTCTATCCGTCTCCCCTCTCTCCCTATTTATTTCAGAACCCCCTTCCCCTCCCCCATTTCTGATAAAGGGTCTAGGCCCGAAACGTCAGCCTTCCTGTTCCTCTGATGCTGCTTGGCCTGCTGTGTTCATCCAGCTCTACACCTTGTTATGCTAAAAGGTCAGTAAGATTCACAGTGCAAACAGTGATAAGGAAGAGAGTCGGTGTCGTCTCCTCACCCGAAGTCGCAGTGTCCCCCCAAAATCCGGATGCACAACCAATCCGCACAGTTTTCCGCTCTGTTGTCAGAGGCCGAGTATTCACACAACGGAATTGGGAATTCGGATTCCAATGGGAATGGGATTGAGAAAGTGGATTCCGATAGGTTTTGGTTTCTGAATTCTGATGACAGTAGGAACCCACAGTTGGACTGGACTGGAATTGGGAATGGGGATGAGATTGGGAATGGGACTGGGATTGGGATTGGGAATTGCAGCGGGAAGGGCCCGGCTCCCCGGGAGCTGAGACACTGACCGGGCTCAGGCCCCCCATGGCCCGGGGCCACCACATATAGGACTTCAGTCGGTGACATATCTCCCAATGTCTGAACATTCTCGGTGAAATGTTTTAAAAGGAGAATCGATCAACTTTCGGCAACTTTTCGCCGAACTTCTCCTGAGCAGGAGCCGGGCTGTGTCCGTGCAGCAGCGCAGATCCGCCCCCGGCAATAACACCCCGTCTCCTTGGTTCCGCTACAATGTGACTTTACAGACAGTAGGTGGCAGACAAACACCACTCCACTTCCAGTCACTTCGAGCTGGCACTGCTAATAGTCCCTGTGGGAAAAAAAAACACAACACCAGGATGCCTGCCTTGAAGAAGTTACTCACCTCCTTCCGGAAAGACCTCAGTGGATCTCTCTCCCACTGCAACCCTCTGGTATTTCAGAACCCCCTTCCCCTCCCCCATTTCTGAAGAAGGGTCTAGACCCGAAACGTCAGCCTTCCTGCTCCTCTGATGCTGCTTGGCCTGCTGTGTTCATCCAGCTCTACACCTTGTTATACCAGGTTATAGCCCAACAGGTTTATTTGAAGACACAAGCTTTCAGAATCTCGCTCCTTCTTCAGATGTCAGTCCCTGTAATTACTGCCGCCACTCACACAATCTGATATTTAAAAGTTACTAAGACCTGTATATGTCCTGTTCCTGAAAAGATGGTGATTCAGTGAAGAAAAAGCCCAGGGAGAGTGTGCTGGCAGAACGTTTGGTTTGATTATTGTCACATGTACTAAGATGCCGTGAAAAGTATTGTTTTTCATGCTATCCAGGCAAATCATATCATGCATAAGTACATTAGAATAATAGAACAGAATGCAGAATATAGTGTTACAGCTGCAGAGAAGAGATCAACTTTAATATGAGAGGTCTGTTCAAAGGTCTGATAACATGGTGGCACAATCCATTGGTAACATTGACTCATTGAGCACCATATACTCTCTTTACTTCAAATGGACTATAATAGGATTAAGGAAACATCTTGAACCCTGATTAACCTGTAATCCTCCCTGTAACTGAATCTGTATTTGTTCATGAAGATCAAAGTATTGAGGATGTAAAGGGCGGAGGATTGGAAAGAGGGACACCTTAGATCTTTTTGGGAGATACACCCTGATTGCAGCTGCCAGACTTCATTAATAGAGGAGACCGACTCAAGAAAAAAAAACCTGACATCATCCTCACAAATTCACCTGGAAGCAACATGTCTGCCCATGGCAGTGTGATCTCTGGAGATTACATTTCATCTTCAGTCCCAGGAAACTCTCCAACATGTGGGCCAGCACAGTGCTCCCTGCTCCCTTCACAGTGCCACAGGCAGCTCAAGAAGAAAGAATGGAGCAAACTCATCAACAAAAATGAAGTGGAGAACTTTCTGAAAGATGAGCGACTGCAGAAGCAGGTGGCCATTGGTATTCTATCTGAAAAGACATTTCCTTTAGCAATGAAAATTATCGACTAAATAATAAAGGAAAATTAAAGTCACTGCAAGGAAGGCTGAATTATTTGGCCCTCAGGTCCAACTCCACCATTCAGTACAATCCTGACTAACTTTTGTTCGACTCCGTTTTCCTGCTCACTTCCTACATCTGTTGATTCCATGACATACTAAGAGTCTGTCGATCTTAGCGTCTAAGTACGCACAATGATGTAATATCGATAACCGTCTGGGGTAGACTATTCTGAAGATTCACAGCTCACTGAGTGAAGAATCCTCTACTCAACTCCCTACTTCTGGAATTGTGCCCTGCCCCCATGTTCTAGATTCACCAGACCAGAGAAACAACCCCAGTATCTACCATGTTAAGTCTCTTCAGAAATTTTAATATTTCAATGAGATCCCCTCTCGTTCCAACGCAATTTGAGTTTGGGAAACCTGGTTAGCATGGATGAGTTGAATCGAAGGGTCTGTTTCCATGCTGTATGACTGTATGATTTTATGATGTGCATTTGGTGAGCCAGTGCAGACATGATGGGCAAAGTGACCTCTATTTGCATGTAATATTTCTGTGATTCAATGATGTGGAAACCAAAACCTCACACAGTATTCCAGGCATAGTCTCAACAAAAATCCTAGACAACTATAACAAAATTCTTTATTGCTGTATTTCAATCCCTTTACAAACAGGCCAATGTGCCATCTGAGTTCCTAATTGCTTCCTGTACCTCCATGCCACCTTTCTGTATTCAAGTAAACCCACATATATCTCAACATCAATATTTCCAAGTTTTGTGTATTTTCTAAAATTGTTCTTTTTTTTTATTTGTTTGTGCTACAATGTGAATATCTTAACCCTTTCCCACATTATGTACCCTTTGGCCCAATTCGCCCATGCTGGCCATGTTTCCTAAACTGAACTAGTCCGATTTGCCAGTATTTGGTCCGTAAACCTCTAAAGCTTTCCTGTCCATGTACCTGTTTTAAAACATGTTTTAAATGATGTAATTGTACCCGCCTCTACCACTTCCTCTTGCAGCTCAGTGAAAAGTTCTCCCTCAGTTCTCCTTTCACCTTAAAATTATGCCCTCTAGTTTTGGATGCCCCAACCCTGGGGACAAGACCTTCACTGTTCACCCTATCCATGCCCCTCATGATTTTATAAACCTCTATAAGGTCACCCCTCAGTCTGTGAAGAACCAGGGAAAAAAATCCCAGCCTACTCAGCCTCCCATAGACTCATATAGTCAAAGAGATATACAACACGGAAACAGACCCTTCGTCCAACTCGTCCATGCTGACCAGATATCCCAAATTAATCTAGTCCCATTTGGCGCATATCCCTCTAAACTCTTCCTATTCATATACCCATCCAGATGCCTTTTAAATGTTGTAATTGTACCCGTCTCCACCACCTCTTCTGGCAGCTCTTTCCATACATGCACCACCCTCTGCATAAAAATTTGCCCATTAGGTCCTTTTTAAATCTTTTCTTTCTCACCTTAAACCTATGCCCTCTAGTTTTGGACTCCCCTACCCTAGGAAAAAATTTCTTGGCTACTCACACTATCCATCTCTCTTATGATTTTATAAACTTCTACGTGGTCACCCCTCAGTATCTGATGCTCCAGGGAAAATAGCCCCAGCCTATTCAGTCTCTCCCAATAGCTCAAACCCACCAATCCAGGAAACATCCTTATAAATGTTTTCTGAACCTTTTCAAGATTGACAAGATCTTTCCTATAGCAGGTAGACCAGAATTGAACTCAGTATTCCAGATGTAGCCTAACCAATGTCTTGTACACAATGTCCCAACTCCCGTACACTGACTGTCACATTGTTACCCACTGATTGAGTCAGTCCCTTTCTCTCTGCAGCCTCTTGTGGCCTCCTCACAGTTTACATTCCCACCAACCTTTGGATCATCGGCAAAACTGAACACATTATGCTTGCTGCCTTTGCCTAAGTCATTAATATATGTTGTAAACAGTATTGATCCTTGCAACACTCTACAAATTACAAACTGCCAACTTGAAATTGCCTCATTTATCCTCACTTAACGCTTACTGTCTTGATGAATGCTCCATTCTTACAAATACATTACTGTCAATTTTATGACATTGGTTAGGACAGTTTTGGAATACTGCCTTCAATTCTGTTCGCCCTGCTATAGGAAGGATGTTGTTAAACAAGAAAGTGTTCAGAAAAGATTTGCAAGGATGTTGCTGAGACTGGAAGTTTGAGTGGCAAGGAGAGGCTGGATAGGTTGGGACTTCTTTGCCTTGAGCATCAGAGGCTGAGGGTTGACATTAAAGAGGTTTGTAAAATCTTGAGGGGCATAGATAAGGTGAATAGCTAAGGTCTTTTTCCCAAGGTAGGGGAGTACAAAATTAGATGGCATAGGTTTAAGGTGAGAGGAGAACGATTTAAAAGAAACCTGAGGGGCAACTTTTTCGCATAGAGGGTGGTGCGTGCATGGAATGAGCTGCCAGAGGAAGTAGTGGAGGCTGGTACAATCACAGCAATTAAAATGCTTTTGGACACATACGTGAATAAGAAAGGTTTAGAGGGATTTGGGCCAAATGCAGGCAAATGGGATTAATTCAGTTTAGGAAACCTGGTCGGCATAGACAAATTGGACCAAAGGGCCTGTTTCCGTGCTGTATGAATCTATGACTCTAATATGATTTTCTAAGTGAATTTTCAAGATTTCCTTCACACTATATTCAAATTACTAACTGAAAATGATTAGGAATAATTGTAAACCCCTCAATACTGGACATGCATATGGCATTATGGATCAGAATAGCAGCAGAGCTGCAACTTCACATCTTTCACTTCTGCCACAATCTAGCTAAGCAATAATGGCTCAATGAGGAAAGTAGAACATGCCTACAGAAATGTCAGAAGTCCATGAAAATGAATTGTCAATTTGGAGAAGCTATCATACAGGGCTACATGCTAAGTAGACAGCAGTTTCATTGCAGCAAAAATTGACAGGTGAAGTTTCCAGCCAGCAAACAGTAGTAGTGATAATGAAGGGCGTGGTACAAATCAGGAGATTAGACTCATAGGGCAGACTTATAAGGGACTACATGATATGGGCTGTGGTGAAATTTCTCCTTCCAGCACTGATCTACAGCTTGCTCCACAAGCAATAACCTTCAATCTTCAGCCTTATCAGAGATTGCTTTTGGCAGGGAGACTGACCTGACATGTTCCAAGCTATGGCCCCCTGAAGTTGGTTTTCCTGCCCATCAGCCAGAATATCTCTGTTGCTAGGCATTAAACAAGAACTAATGATATGAAGGCATTGTGGTTAAATTCAGCAGAACTTCAATGTTCTCATCTCCATCAGGCTTCCCCAATGCTCTCACTCTCTCTCTGTCTGCCTCCCCATGTACAAAAGGGGTCAATATGTTCTCCGTGGTTGAAAGGTAAAGAATAAAAGGCATAAATACAAGATGAACCAGAAGAGATTTTGGAGAGAAAACAGGAAATATATATTTTACATTGGGTCATGTTGTAATACCGCTGACTATGACATTGCTGTTGTCAT